CTTTTTGGGATGCGTACTTACATTGCTGTAATTCTATAAATTAACTAGAAAACACTACCATCTTTGTCTTCCCATTCAAGTACCTGATTCGTATCTCTATTCAGGTCTTCTGTTACATTCTTCAGTATAGTTTCACAGTATTTTTCCGTCACTTAAGATACTATTGTAAATGCGATCTTTAACATTGTATTTTCTAACTGATGACTCTGAGACATAGGAAAGCTACCAATTTTTATGGCAAAGAACGACTGTTTTGTCCTCCTTGTCCCATCTGTTTTTTTCCCCGATTTGAGTAGCACGTCTACAATGATGTTACATAATACTTATCAGAGGCATCCTCATCTTGTTCCTATACTTAACAGGCTTAATAGACAAGCAACAAAATGAACCTCCTAATTCATACTGACCCTCCTCCCTTCACTTCCACCATCTATATGGTTTTGTACACCAAAGACCCACTGATTCACCCAACAGTTTTTGTGAACAATCTGCTTCAGCATAAGTCTTATACTCCTTCACTAGATTAAAATCTGGGCACCTGATTCAAGGTCTCACCTTGGACCCAGAAGCCAGCCTGCCCCCTAGCTGATCGTACTTCAAGGAAGTGATGGCTGCTTTGTGTCCATTGAAGGTCACATTTCCTTCCCCACTCAGGAGACTGAAGATTCGGATAGACCCATCCTCATAACCAACAGCTAAGTGCAGCCCATCTGGGGAGGGACACAAGCAAGTGACTTCTTGTTTAAGTCCCTGAAGGATAAGGATCTGAAATCACAAGAATCATAAACAACATACAGGTGGAGTTAAGTGCATGATTAAAGGAAAAATGTGGAAATAATCAGAGACAATAAAAATAAGAGCATTAATAATTCCAAATCATTCTTTAAATAATAATGAAATTCTGCAATGCATCTCAAGTTCTTTCATGTAGGAATTATTATTTGTACAGGGCAACGAAACATTCAAGAAAGGGTAAAATTATTTTCTCCAAAGCTCTACATCAGCGTGGTATGTACAAAAATTTCCCAAGTGATATATTACTAAATCCTTATCCTAAGTTAATACCAAATGATATTCCATCAAGGGTTATAAGCACATCTATGCTTTAACTGAGCCCCATCTTGAAAGAAACCAACCTGTATGGCACTAGGGTGCTACACGGTTTACTCCAAGAAACTGGCTGGCAACAAGTATCAAAGTATTAATATCTTGGGAGTCACACAGTGACTGGGCAAAACTAAAATGCCTATAATTTGGTGTGGTAGAAATGGCAGGCTTAGGGAACTTAGCAACACAAAGTGTCAAAGCCTAGTTTAACAAACTTGGGCCTCCTCTGTTCAATAAAAAAAGGTTCCACCACCACAGCTGAGTATTATTCCTTTTAAATGCCGAAAATTTTATAACTAGCAGTGAGGGCAGGTAAAAGAACTTGAAAAATAAAGAGCTGGTAGAGAACACCAAACGTGTCTGGAATTGTGATTACAAAAATTACCTGTAGATACTACAAATGGATACCTAAGACGTAAGCTCCTATTCGGTCATGGCTTTCAGAATTTAGATTTCAGAATTTTTCAGAATTTAGTGCAGAAAAAAAACAACAGAACCTGATACTGGGCTACCTAGAAGTAGTCCAAAGAAGAAAGATTTCTCTTTTAGAGGTACATATATTAAAAAAAAAAAAAAAAAAAAATCAATCAATCAATCAATCTGTGCATTGATTGTGCAATCTGTCCACTTCGACCTCTCCATCCTCAAATACCTATAAGTCAGTTATCAACCTAGTTGATCTCTGGCTTACCTTCTCTCCTTTCCTTAAGTCCCAGATGAAAACATGTTCGCAGGCTGGTACTGCCACATAGCGTCCTTTTTCACCACGAAGTGTCACAAAGACAATATTACCTTTTTGGCTGCCAATAAGGCCAAAGACTGCACTGGCAACATAGCGTAGGTACTGCTTCGTGAGCCCCATGTTATAACGCCTGATACTGCAAGCGAGGCAGCTGTGCACACACACATAAGAGTCAGTTCATTGGGTACCTCGGTTTTGCTGGGCTGGCAAACACCATTTAACATGTGATTAAAGCATGTAACTTGTGACTTCTTAACCTTTATTTACTCTGAATAAGGCACTGACATAGATACCTAGACATCATTTTGTATCTGCTGCTGACTCAGCATTTAAGCCCTCATTCCTCAAGCTTCAAATTGGTCACCCTGTTATGCCCACCTCACAAATAACTAACACGTGGCCTTAATGCAGCTAAACAATTTACTTCTGTTCATTCAACCACCATCAAAGTTTTTATACCGAGATTGACAAGATTGAGATGGAAAACGTTTATAATGAATTACTGTAATCCTACTACCTAGATAAAGCACTGTTTTAGACACTGGAGTGTTGAGTAAAATAAAATCCCTAACCTCGTGGCACACATCCAGCACAGTGAGTCTCAAACACTAGTATGTATCCGAATCACCTGTGGGCCTATGAAAACAGACTGCTGGGAATCACATCCACCAAACCTCCCCAGTGCTTCTGACTCAGTAGGTCTGAGGGGGTCCCAAGATTTTTTTTTTTTCCTAAGAAGTTCCTAAGCGATGCTGTGGTTGTGTGGTTTCTCACCTGAACTACTGTTCTAGTACATGTAGGTCCTTCTTTGATTCCCAATCAGGTCAGCTACCTACCCTTGGCACAGAAAAATGATAAAGCAACTTGGCATATAATTTTTGAAAAATGCCTTACTTAGTTCTCACCCTAAATCAAATTCACTGAAAACACTGTTTCTGGATAAAAAAGACAAAAAATTAAAGAGATACTAAGTCAAGCCTGTCTGGTCTTGATATGAAAGAGTGAAAAGTGCTCCAAACACCCATGCAACTTAAAACAAACAAACAAACAAACAATACTAGACAGCAGTTACACCCTTTTTTGGGAAGCTGATTTTTTGTTGTTGGTTTTTACATATGGTTTAACTCGACAGGGTCCATTTCTGATTACACTTGGTTTTAGCCTACCTTAACAGAAAAATATTCAATGCCAACTCTCTTTATTATTTTCTTTTAGTAATCACTGACTTTTCCTCATCTATGAACCAACAAAAGCCAGGTAAAAATCAAGGTAAGAATATTAACATGGTGATAATGCTGTTAGCCTAAGCCATTTGATCAACTCTTCCCCAATTCCTTATTCCTCCAGCCCCTCTACTGTAGTTCTTCCTCTTGGTAGTCTTTGGCCATCTATCAGTTCTTTCCACAGTATTTTCCTTGGAGACTTCACAAAGCATACATAAGCGCAGGGACACCTACACCTCTATTTTCAGTCCTGTCCATGTACGTGAATACCAGTGATAGAATTCCAAAAACTTCCATGAGATATCCATCCAAATACCTTGCAGCATCACACTGAACATGGGTAAAACCAAACCTACCTTGCTTCCTGACCCCTTCATTTTTTCCTTATTCTAAGACACACACTCCCCCTTGCCATTCAGGCTCATAAACCTTGTATGTAACCTTGTATGAGCAAACTTTGGCTCATTAATTAAAAAAAATATTATAGCAGCCAAGCCTTAAAGAGTATTTACTATATTGATATATTAAATGTATACACCTGAGTAAACATACGTAGTCATTTAATTACAAATAGTAATTGAGTTAATTAAAAGGGTTAACATATGCAAAACACTTAGAGAAGCATCTAGGGGCACCTGGGTGGCTCAATCCATTGAGCCCCAGACTCTTGTTTCCACTGGGGTCATGATCTCAGGGTTATCAGATTGAGCCCAAAGCTCAGTGGGGAGTCTGACTGACATTCTCTCCCTCTGCTCCTCCCCGGCTCACACTCTCTCTAAAATATTTTTTTAAAAATCATGTAGAATATTGTAAATATAAGGATAAAAAATTCTTCACAATAACCTTACAAAGTGGGTATTCTTAACTCCATTTTACAGACAAGGAAACTAAGCAAAGAGATGTGAAATAACAAGCCCAAAGTCATTTACCCAGTTTTAAGTGCCAAAGCCAGGTTCCAATCCTCAAATTCCAAAATTTGTTCTTTTAACCTCTAAGCCAAACTGCTTCTCTCTGCCTCTGTTCTCTTTTTTGTCAGAAGCTTCCACCTAATTCATTGGTTTTCTGAAGTAGGATTCTTTTCTCTTTCCACTTTCTGTTCCAGCTCTTTATCACTGGGTTCTTGTCAGGTTAGTTGGTTTCCTTCCCTGTCCTGACACCTTGCTTCCTTTATACTGTTCCTCTCACCTAGAATAACGTGCACTATCATGTCATCCTATTTTATCAAATCGGTGTTAACCTCTGAGGTCTACTTCCTCCGAGGCCAGACTATCCTCGTCGCCTTTTCTATCGCCTCAATGTTTAAAGTTATCTTCCATACAACTTGGAACTAGTCACATGCACATATCTTACCGCCTTTTGGAACCAGGTCACGACCTAACCTCCTTCCGCGACCTACCTACCATCCCAGCTTCCTACCTACAGAGCCTGAAAATATGTTTCTAAGATGCACCGAGGGGCTAGGGTGTAGTAATAGACCTGTCAGACGTCCCTAAACCGAGTCTTCAGTCAGGACAAGCTGAGGGGCTGCTCCGCGCACGGATCGTGCTGTCCGGGCATCCTAGGGAGATCTGGTCCACGCACCAGCCCCGGGAGTTAGCGGGAGGCCGCCGGGGACGGTAGGTTCCCAGTCGCCACCCTAGCAACAGCCGCCAAGGGCCCCCGCCTCACCTGATGCTGGAGCCACGGAGGCCTCAGCCAGGACCACGCAACTGTGAGCGAAGAGCAAATGCGACCGAACGCCATGCCCTTAAAGTACTTACCTTGGCCTCCACGAGGTTAAGAGCCACCTGGACCCGCCTACGGGACCTACCCCTTCCGGGTCCGCTTCGGTACCCACTTCCGCCCGTCATTCCTTTTGCCTTCGCTGAGGAAATGACGTAGGAGGTCTCTGGTTGGTGAGGGCCCGCGGGTAGCGGAAGTCGTTGTTTCGCTACTCAAAGCTCTTGCAGCTGGTCAGTCCAGCCTCTTGGGACTTTGACTCGCCTGACCGCGGAGCTCCTGACCAGGGGTGTCCGGGGATGCCGCTCGGACGCTTTCTACGAGGAGCTTAAACCCGCCCCGCTGCCGCCCGGATGGGACCGCCGGAGTGCTGTGAGAACCGGGACTGGCACCGGGGCCGGGAGGGAAGGCGGGGCGGAGCGGGCTGGGGGCGCGGCGGGAGGCTCTGAGGACTCCGCCGCGGCTGAGGGTGCGGGCAGAGAGGATTAGTGCTGACCGCTCTCTGGAGGAATGAGCCTGCCGCTTCTTCACCAGAGGTTGTCTGGCTCCTCTGGCCCGCGGCGCTGTCGGGAACAACCTATCGAAGAGAAGAGAGAGGGTAGGCGGACCTGGGCACCAGGGATAGTGGTGCTGGAGTCACCAGGGAGGCACGCGCCCTGATGCAGGTGAGATAGGGCGGCTGGGACCCTTGCGGGTTACTGTCCCAGGGTCGAGTGTGATTTGCCGCGCGTGTGGACCTGGCGTTCCACAAACCGAGAGCAGCTCGAGTCAGGGCTGGGTTAAGGCGCTAAGCCCAAGATGCTGAGTCGTCTGGATCCCCGCAGTCCCTGGAGTGACATTGGTCTGGCTGTGTGTTTCCGCTCCCTGGCCACTTGAAGGGGAAGTGACCAGGGCTGACTCCTCCTTGCTTGGTAATTGAGGATTAGGTGCTCTGTCACCAGGTAGAAATTAGCTTTTCTCTATTGCAGCTCTGTCCGCTTCTGTTCTTGGGCTGTACAGAAATGTTCAAAGTGAGTTCCGATGTCTGTAGTGGTGGAAAATTAAAGCTAACATATTGCTGTACAAAAGAAATAAGTCTCTGCCTTCGCTTATAGGACAATATATCCGCAGCCAACCTAGAAATTAGACTTTTATCTAAATTATCTGGTTATTTTCAGATGTTTCTTGAGTTCTTTTTCCCCCGTTTCTTGAGATCTTAAGACATGTGCAGCCAGTCTTCCACAGTCAAGAAAATTGCAGTAGTGAATGGATATGTTGAGACCGTAGATAGACGTTGTAGGTGTTTTGAAACAAGATTACTGTGGGTTGGATGAATGAGAAGGGAGGAAATTGTGGCAACAGACTATTTTTATAATAAATTTCATGGAGAAAGGAAACATTTAGGTGGGTGTGTATGGTAAGTATCTCCCGTAGGACATGCGCATTGTATTATTATTGGGGAAAAAAATGTGTGCTTCAGTAGAAAACTGCATAGTCTAGATTCTATCTAGAAAGCTATGCCAAGAAAGCTATTTTACAACTCTGTGAACTATAGAAAACTAATGATCAGTTCTGTACTTTGAACAGGTTCATAAGCAAACACTAAACCTAGTAAATCAATATTAAATAACTTCTGTCTGTGGACATGCAGATTCTGTACTCTTAGAGATTCAGTGGAACTTATGTTCTTATACATTAATTTCAGTATTCCTGATCTGTTAATGTGTTCAGTTTTAGGATTCCTTTTATCTACCACCTGACAGGTTCTCTTTTGAGTTAAATAAAATGTTGAACACATTTTCATCTTTATATTTGAATGAGTCATGATTCTACTTAAAAAAATTCCTTTTAATGTTACAAAATATTACGAGAAGGGACAATCACAAATGGAAAAGATAATTTTAATAAGAGTTGGTGTAAGAGCAACTGTGTGCTAAGATAATGCATCTTATAAAATTCCCAAATCATACAGTTTTTAAAGAGTATAATCCTAATTTTTAAGTTTCAACTTGTTCAATGTATTAATACTTATAATTAAGACATGGTAAACTTTTAGTATGAAGGTGGTACTACAAACTCACATTGGAGCCTGTACTTTGGATATTTTTGAATGACCATATTAAATTTGATCTGGGCTATTGATACTGCTTAGAAATATTTTTGCTATACTGGATTTATTGTTGGCATATCTAACTGCTTCACCTAAGTAACTTAAACACCTAAGTAACTTTAAAAAAGTTTATTTCCATTTGCATAGGATGAATTTTAATATTATAATAGATTTGGATGGAGGTATTATACACAAAAATCTAATGTGCCCTGAAGTTTTAAATATTGAAATACAAGGCATAAAAAATGGTAAACCTGTAATTTATCTCTTTATACTTTTATCCAGGCCTATCTAATCACTATACCCATTTTGTAGAACAAGCAAACAGATTTAAAGTTCTGTTTTTCTCTTTTAAATGATACCATTTTCTATTTATCCAGACAAAAACTGGGCTATGTCGAGATAGTAATCTAGAGTATTCTGATTCTTCCTAGTCTTAAACAATAAAAATCTAACCTCTCTACCAATCCAGTTATTCATATAAAGCATTATTTAGAGGACTTCTTAAACTAAAAGAATGAAAGACTTTTAAAAAAATGAGCATTTGGGGGCATTGTGGGTGGCTCAGTGGGTTAAGCCTCTGCCTTCAGCTCAGGTCATGATCTCAGGGTCCTGGGATCGAGCCCCACATCGGGCTCTCTTAGCAGGGAGCCTGCTTCCCCCTCTCTCTCTACCTGCCTCTCTGCCTACTTGTGCTCTCTCTTTAAAAAAAAAAAAAAAAAAAAAAGCATTTAACCTAAATGTTTACAATATTTGAGAAAAAGACAAGCCACAGAGTAATGAGAATGGTTTATACTCATTATTCGTTTGTATTATAAAGGATATATGGAGAGCTCTCGTTGTCTTTAGGTCTTCATTCGTGAAGATACTGAAGGTAACCCTTAACATAGTATGGCTAAAAAAATAGATATGATCCATTCTGGAATCTTCTGTTTGCCTCATGTAGACTTTTTGAACCTGGACATGGATGTCTTGCCTCAGGAGCCTTTAATACTAAGGTTTAGTGTTTGCTTATGAACCTGTTCAAAGTACAGAACTGATCAACTGATATTCAGTGGAAAGTCTTGCTTTAGGTATAGTAGCCTTCTCCCCGCCTCACCTGATTACTCTGTATTATCACTGGGATTCTTTTTTTTTTTTTTAAAGATTTTATTTATTTATTTGACAGAGAGAAACACACACAGTGAGGGAACAGAAGCAGGGAAGTGAAAAAGGGATAAGCAGACTTCCCACTGAGCAGATAGCCCTATTCGGGGCTTGATCCCAGGACGCTGGGATCATGACCTGAGCCGAAGGCAGACGCTTAATGACTGAGCCACCCAGGCACCCCTATCCCTGGGATTCTTAATCTGAGTCTGGGAATCTTCTCAAATTTATTTGCAACTCTTTGCCTCTATGAGCTCCTCAGATGCTCACATTTTGAGTAGTAAAAAGGTCTTGACTTCTTACGTGATTCTCAAAGGGATCTGTGACCCCAAGAATGTTAAGAACCACTGTACCTTAAGTATCAGGAATCATCGGGGGCGCCTGCGTGGCTCAGTGGGTTAAGCCTCTGCCTTCAGCTCAGGTTATGATCTCAGGGTCCTGGGATCGAGCCAGGCATCAGGCTCTCTGCTCAGCAGGGAGCCTGCTACCCCCTCCCCCCGCCTGCCTCTCTGCCTACTTGTGATCTTTCTCTCTGTCAAATAAATAAATAAAATCTTAAAAAAAAAAAAAGAAGTATCAGGAATCAAATTTTCCTGCCTAGCTTGGATTTGCTGTGTTGGAGGAGAAGGGACATTTAAATCTCTTTTTGGTGAGAGGATCAATTGCAGCTTAGAGATGGAGCTGAAAAGGAATTTACCCTTTATTAAATGTCATGACACTTTCTATATAATGCCATTAAACTTTGAGAGCTCTCAACTGTATTTATTACTCAGTAAGTACACAATATCTTATGGGTGACAATGACTTTTAAGATCTGGGAAGAAGGGACATCTGGGGGCTCAGTCATTAAGCATCTGCCTTCAGCTCAGGTCATGATCGCAGGTCCTGGGATCGAGCCCCACATCAGGCTCCCTGCTTGGTGGGAAGCCTACTTCTCCCTCTCTCACTTCCGCTTGTGTTCCCTCTCTCACTGTGTCTTTCTCTGTCAAATAAATAAATAAAATCTTTTAAAATAAAAAAAGATCTGAGAGGAAGTTCCCATAAATTATATGGACAAGAGGTGATTAGAAATATAAGAGAACCACCAGTAGTGTACTGTCAAAGTAGGTAATAGAATTTCAGAGAAAGAATGATCAATAGGTAATGCAACTAAAATGTGGTTAGTTCCTGGATTTGACATTTGGTCAATCATTTTAGACCTTGAAAGAGCAGTTTTAGCATTGTTAAGTGATGGAGGTAAAACTGCAATAAGTTAAAAAAAAAACTGCAATAAGTTGAATAAATGGGAGAAAAGGAAATAGAGCTGCAAAACAGATTATGGTTATAAAGTTAAATGATAGAATGAGGAGTTTCATTGGTGTCTGAAGAAGAAATGCAGTAGGAAATTTTTTTGAGGGTAGGAGGACCTAGGGGATGGAGAGATCAGATATTGTTAAGGGGGAGTTAAGACATTCTGTTACAGGAGAGCTGATGAAAGGGAGTAAAATGTATAAATGAAGGCAGTTTGGCAGGTTTAAAGTGTGGCTCCCAGATGTGCCCTTACCTCTGTAAAACTCTTATACTTTTGGTCTCAACTGTCACTTTGTGGAAGAGACATTCTCTGCTTCTCGAAATTCTAAATTAGCTTTCCATCTTGTTCTTCTTTACAGAACATTTCTCACAGATTTTAACTATGTATTTCTGTGATTATGTATATTTGTGTGATTTTTGGGAGCCACACTTTTTGTGAGTCTGTCTCTTCCATTAGAGTCTCCATACCTAACAATACTTGAATAAATGAGTGCCTGGAACAAATAAGCATTTATTATCTTGCGTTTTCTGTGGGTCAGGAATTCAGTAGCAGCTTGCAGTGAGGATATCAGCTGGGCTGAAGTCATTTGAAGCCCAACTAAGGCTGGAAGATCCAACGTGATTCCTTCACCTGCCTAGGCATTGATGCTGGTTGTTGGCAGGAACCCTCAGGTTCTTCCCATGGGGGTCTTTCATGGGCTGCTTGAATGTCCTGCATCATGCAAGCACTCCAAGAAAGAGCATGATAGCTTTTATGACTCATCCTTGGAAGTCATATGCAGTCATTTCTGCAGTGTCCTGTTGGTTACAGGGGTCAGCCCTATTCATTATAGGAGGCAGCTATACAGGGGCATAGATATCAGGAAGCAGGTATCATTGAAGGACATCTTAGAGGATGTTAACCACAGATGCGATATAGTATAGCATAGAGAGTCACCCAAGAATTATTAAAACAGTTTCATAATAGTGTTGTTGGAGGGTCCAGCTGACCTTGGAAAGCATGCATTTGTCTTGGCAGCAGACAGGATAATTACTGATTTTTTTTTCTAGTAGCATAAGAGCAGGATTAGAGAAGACAGACGTTGGATTGATCTAGGTGTTGGGGATTAACAAGTCATTTCAAGAGCAGACATTGAGATAAATAAGTGTATCTTAATTCAGCAGTGTGTGTTTGGTTTTTTAGAGTCTTTGACAGCACGTGTTTTAATCTCTGCCACACATGGAGACATCTTTATCTCAACAGTGGTACAGGTGACTTTCACATGGGCTCTGAGAAAGTTGTAACAATTTTTATTGTGCTTTGCTTTGAATTCTCACAATAACCCTAGGAGTGTATTACTCTTATTTTTGAAATAAGGGAACCCTGGCGTAAGTCAAGGATAGCAGAGCTGTTAGGTCCTAGACCAAACTCAGGCCTGCTAACAGAACCCCAGCTCTCTCATTGCACCACCCTGCCTCTCCCTCGCAGTATAATTACATATGGAAATATTTATCTCAAAATACTAAAGAAGCCAAGCTCAAAACTGTACATAATCATTTCACCTATCATAGAAAAAGATAAGAACTCTATTAAAGTTTGGGAGTTTTTCCTTTCTTAACTTTTTTCCCTAAAATGTTCTATAAGTGAGTATTACTTAGAAAAATTATTTTAAAGAATTGTGTCCTGAAAGTACTTGAGTTTGCAAAATGAAAACTAAGTTTAATGTTTAATGGAATTTTTATATTATAGTTAAGAAGTTTTAACATGGGGCGCCTGGGTGGCTCAGTTGGTTAAGCAGACACCTTCAGCTCAGGTCATGATCTCAGAGTCAGGATCCTGGGATCAAGTCCCACATTGGACTCCCTGCTCAGCAGGAGTCTGTTTCTCCCTCTCCCTTTACCCCTCCCCCACTTGTGCTCTCTCTCCCTTTCTCTCATGCTCTCTCTCTCAAATAAACAAATAAAATTTAAAAAAAATTTAGCATGAGTCATTGTCCTCAACAATCTGTGAATAATTTTTTAAAGTATTAATTTCTGCAAAGTGTCATTCCATTGAGCTTCAGGTGGTTCAACCATGGAAAATAAATGTAGTCTCTTTTTGTCCGCTATTCAGCTTGTCCAGCTCAGGTTTGAACACTTTTTAACAGATCAACAGATTTCGTGGTTGCCTCCAGTTTCAAAGGCCAATGGATGGACTAAACACCAACTTCTAGATAAAATTAGTTTCTTTATTTCAATAATCTCAAAGGAGTATTTTGTATCAAACAAGAATAATTTTCTTACATAGTTTTATAGTGGTATAATCTCTAAGGCCTTTCAGAAATTGTTAAGTGATCACGTTTCCTACTCCATGTGCTGGTACAGGAATTAACATATTGTGCCTGATCCATGGTTCATTCCACTTAGTATGTCACACTTCTCACCAAGAAACACCAAGGAATTAGATGTAGAAAGGCATGTTTGTTCTCCTTGCCTCTAACAATAAACATAAGGATCACACAGAAAAACTTCTCTAACAAGTTCACACGGCAGCTTTCATTCCCTAATTGTCTGTCTGCTCAGGGTTACCAGTGACCTTTACCTTACCAAACCCACTAATCAATCCTCAGTCCTGTTACTCAACATTTCAGTAGCATTTACCCAAACTGATCCTTCTCAAGCAATCCTCAAAATGCGGTCTTCACGTTGCTTTTAGTCTGCCATACTTTCCTGGTATTCCTTCCTGTCTTATCAATCCTCTGTATCTCGCTTTTTTTAACTTGTCCTCTTTGCAGCCTGTAAGTTTTGCCTTAGGACTCAGTCTTCTGATTTCGTTTCTCCTTTTGTATTATGTCTCTTGGTAATCATGTCCAGTGTTCCCATAGCCTTAAACACCACCCGCAGGCTGAGTCTTCCATATTTATTTCTGTAGCCCGATCTCTCCTCTAAGCTCTAGCCTCATATAGCCAGTGTATGTCTGACGTCAATACTTGGCCGAAGGAGGAGCATCTCAAACTTCATACACGCAAAAACACATGAGGAAGAATGACCTTGATTGTCACTCCACTGAACAGTCTACTCCAGTCTTCCCCTTCCCTGTAAATAGAATTAACATCTACTCAGTTGCTCAAGCAAGAAATCGAGGAGTTACCTTACTTTTGATTCTGTTCTTTTCCCTCACCCTTCATATTCATTTAGCAAGTCTTGTTGACTCTACCTTCAAAATGCATTCCAAATCCAATCATTTATCATCGACTTCGTCACCATCTCACCTAAATCCCTGCAGCCATTTTCTGCTCTGGTCTTTGGTTGTACTCTCATCCCTACTGGATCTCACTGTAGCTTGAGTAATCAGACCAAGTATTATCTATATTAAGTCATTCCATTTGTCAAGATCCTCTAACAGCTTCCCCCCATATTATAATAAGACCAAACCTTCTTATGGCTTACACACTGCATCATGTAGCCTTTCCCTCTTGCATTACCCTCATCACCTACCATTTATAAGCTAGCTTATTCTGTTCTATCCAGATCAGTTTCCTTGCCCTTCCCGGAAGACATAAGCTCCTTCCTGCCCTTTGGGCCTTTTCTCTCACTATTTCCTCCTCCTAAAACACTGCAGGGTTTCATATGGCCTGCTGTTTCACTTTATTTAGCTCTCTACTCAGATACTACCTTTTTTCTCATAATAGTTATTGCTTCCAGTCATTCCTTTGGATACCTGCTTACTTTGATTATTGTTTATCATCTCCTTTCCAGGAAGCATAAGCTCAGTAAGTGCTTGGACTTGCTGTCTTATTCACCAGTGTATCCCCAGTGCCTCGAACAGTACCTGACATGTAATAGATGCTTACAAAGATTTGTGAATGAACGAATCTGCATTTTACTGAAACAGCTGCCTTCTTGGCAAATTAAATATCCTTACTTCCCTTTGTAATACTTGATACTGTGTGTCTTCCTGTCACCCTCTTCTTCTAATTTCTGTATTTCCCTACAGCCAGCATCCTACACATCAGTGTCTCATGCCATATCTTAGAAATTGTCCAATCCTGTTAATTCTTCTTCGTATGTTGCCTCCCAAATCCATGCCTTCTGCTCCATCTGCTTTTCCTAATAAGTTCATACTTTTATTATCTTTTGTTACTTGACTGCAGGAACCTCCCTGCTTCTCATTTTGTCTTACTCAGTTATCATTTAGTAAGATTTATATTATCACATCTTATCATTTGGCTGAACTCTACTTTTTTTGACCGAACTCTTTAAATTGTCCATATTATTTATCTTTATATCTCTTGCAGCACCTAGCAAGCCCCCCTCCTGTCAATTGCAGACATTCAGTGAATGTTGAATGAGTTGTCTTGGGTTTCTGGAAAGTAGAACTGGTGGGCCATGTGATTATTTTAATGGCTGTGATTCTTTGAAAAGAAATTATGCTGAAATAATCCCCCTTTATTCCTGTTTTAGAGAAGCTATAGCAATTCTTTGTTATATATTGGTTTTTATGGAGTATTTTAAGCAGCTAGTCACACAATGTCCTTTAGAGTGTTTCACAGTAGAGATTTGTTTTTTGATCTAATAGAAATAAGGTAATATCTGTACTTCTCTATTAAAACAGTTCTTTCTTTTCTTTTAAGCTAAAGTCTGCAGTGAATATTGAATCCTGAGGAATTTGGGGAAAGACATTCCATGGATCCCTTGGGTGCACCTTCCCAGTTTGTGGATGTGGACACACTGCCAAGCTGGGGCGACTCATGGGAAGATGAATTAAATACTTCTGATACTGCAGCTGAAACGTTTCAGGAAGACACTATTAGATCACCTTTTCTTTACAATAAGGATATCAATGGGAAAGTGATTCTTTGGTAATTCTTTCATTAAATCATATCATGATATAATAATACCCATAAGTTCTTCTAAATTATTATTTTTTTTTTTTAAAGATTTTATTTATTTATTTGACAGAGAGAGATCACAAGTAGACGGAGAGGCAGGCAGAGAGAGAGAGAGAGGAGGAAGCAGGCTTCTTGCTGAGCAGAGAGCCCGATGTGGGACTCGATCCCAGGACCCTGAGATCATGACCTGAGCCGAAGGCAGCGGCTTAACCCACTGAGCCACCCAGGCGCCCAAGTTCTTCTAAATTATTTTTTTCTCATTGTTTCTTCTAAACTTTTTTTCTCATAATTTCTTCTAAACTCTTTTTTGTAAGCCCTAGCATTGTTAAAATACTGTTTTGCTTATACTTACAGTTTTATTGAGGAATAACTGACATACAGTTAACTGTACATGTTTAAAATGTACAGCTTGGTGGATTTTAACATGTATGTATCCATGAACCTGCTGTGTTACTTTGATCACCACAGTCAAGATAGTTAATATATTTATCACCCCCAAAAGTATTTCTTTGTGTCCCTTCATAATCCCTCCTGTCTCCTTCTCCTCCCTGACTCCACATCCTCCAGCAACCATTGATCTTTCTGTCACTATAGATTAGTTTGCATTTTCCAGAGTTTTATATAAATGGAAATCACATGACCTTTTTTTTTATTCTGGCCTCTTTCATTCAGCATAATTTTTTGAAAGTTCATCTATATTCTTGCATCTGTTAGTAGTAATACCTTTTTTTTAAAAGAATGCTTTATTGCGGTATAATTCATGTATCATACAATCCACCAGTTTAAGTTTTATGTCTGTGGTTTTTTTGTATATGCAAAAAGTTGTATAAGCATCAGCCATAGTCAGTTTTAGAACATTTTCATCACCTCAAAGTCCTGTATGCATTAGCAGTCTTTTCCCATTTCCCCCATCTCTCAGCTGCAGCCAACCACTAATCTGCTTTCTCTGTCTATAGATTTGTATATTCTGGACATTTCATGTAAGTGGAATCAATTGTGACTTAGTATAACATTTTGAAGGTTCATCTATATTGAAGTATGAATCAGTACTTCATTCCTTTCTGCGGCCAAATAATATTCCATTGTATGGCTATACCTATCACATTTATCAGTTTATCGGTTCATTAGCTGATAGACATTTGGGTTGTTTCCACTTTTTGGCTATCATAAATAATGCTGCTGTGGTGTACTCTTGAAACCAACCGCTTTCCACTGTCTAAGCATTCTATTATAGTGAAAGAGAAATATGAAAGAAGCAAAGGAGTAACTTGCGGGTTCTGTGGCTTTCAGGGTTATAGCATTTGCATTGAAGATTCTAAGATGTCAGATTAGTCTTCCTGAGTCCAGAACTACTTTTTCACTCTTACTTAAGCTTGTGAGCTACCAAAACCAATGTTGTGAGGGGAGTGAGGATAGAATGTTTTGAAAGAATTAGCAGTTAGCTTTCTTATCTCCCTACTTTTCCCCCACACTTGTACTTTGTTTCTCATTTCCTCAGGAAAGGAGATGTGGCATTACTGAACTGTACAGCCATTGTGAATACCAGCAATGAAAATCTTACAGATAAGAATCCTGTGTCAGATAGTATCTTCATGCTCGCAGGACCTGATTTGAAGGAGGACCTCCAGAAACTTAAGGGTGAGTGAGGTTTCCTAGGTATATTATTGCTTAGGAAACATTTATTTTTGATATGTGAAGAAGCATGTTTTGCATTTAGTGAGAATACTAAGTAGATGTGGCTATTTTGTTGTTGTTTAAACTTCATAAACACAGCTTTTGAAAACCCCACATTGTGTTAGAAGCAGAGCACTGAGACTTTACTCTCATGTTCTCAAATTTGAAAATGACAGTCACTATAGCCAGTTATGTCTTTGGTAGTGTTTTCTTGGCTGTCTATTTTTCTTGCACTAATAAGCTTTGGGAAACAACTATCCTTTCTCTAAACTGAAAAATTTTATGATTTGATATTGATAGAGAATTTTTCATATACTTCATGGGAAGTGATTGTTGCACTTTGGAAATGTAATTGATTTACCGATAAAACCAAAATGCATTTTAAGAGCAAAATATATTCTTGACTAATTTTGCATTTGCTCCTTTTTTCTTAACCAGAACATTCTTCTGAGAATATTTCATTGGAAATGGGGACAGGAAGAGTTCTATTAGTTCAGAATCTTGTTTACTTTATTTGCATTCATTTTCTTAAATTACCAACCTGGCAAACCAGGTTACTGTTATTTGAGCCCAAATAGAATATTATGAAATTCAATCATCCCATTTTATAAAAAGTAATTATGAAATACAGCAGTGTTTCTTAAAATGTAAACAACAAATCTCATCTCCATAAAATTCTGATTTCCTTGACCTCTACCATTTAATAGTGAAAACTGTTTTCTAACCTAATAAAGATATTAGCATTTGAGCAGGAATACATAATGCTGACTCCATGAACAAAGGAATAGGGAAGAAGTACATTATCTAATCAAGAAACTGAACTCTATGATAGCAGAAAGAGGGGGAAAAAGGCCTTAATTAAACTAAAAACATGCTACCATGAAGAACATGTAGAAATTAGAAAATGTCGTACAGATAATACTAAGAAGTTCCTTGATAACGGTAATAGAGAAGTTGGTCTGGAAAAATCCCTTATGGTCCATGTGCGTATGTGTGTGTGTGTTCTCAACCTTAGAGCTGGACTTAGGGATAAGAAAAAGGAAGTAATAAAATCTAATACAAGGATACAAGTAAAGCTTCAGTATTTAACAGCATATGTTTGAGAGCCTCCAAGCAAGAGTTTACATTATAACTCTGCCCTTCACTGTGTGATGTAAAACCAATTACTTCACCTCTGGGCCTGAGTTTCCTTTTCTTAAAGTGGGCATGGTGATAATAGTCTCTACCTCAGTTTCTGACACATAGCAAGAGTTCAGTGAGTATTTGGGGATGGAAACAATATCATGAAAACCAAATTAAATAATGACCATTAAGTGTTAGGCACATTCTAAGTGTTTAATGTTATTGCTGATGTTAGCTACAGGCCTCAGTTGTTTGATGAGTCAGTGCCAACCTGCGGGCATCTTCAACAACTTGATGAGTGATTACAGTGTGACTTCCCAAATCTGTGTGTGATAGAAAGCTGAGAGGAGTTAATAAGGAGATTTTGGATATTAGACCAAAGAATTTTAAATATTCTGAACCGACTGGTAGTATGAGCCAAAAAATGAAAACATTGACAGGGATGAATATAAAGTTTTGCAGTAAGTTTAAAACCTTAATTATCCAAATTCTGGTTGGGGAAGCCCAGTTTGACAACCCTTATTATATAAGAAAGTATTTGCTCTTGGAAAAATGGCATTATCATTCATTCCATTTTTCATGCAAAAAACTTCAGGTTAACGCTTTACTCCTTATCCCCCAAATAAAGTTTGTCATCAAGCCATAAATATATCTTGTATCTCTTTATCACCACTGCCTCCAACGTAGCCTATCCTGCCATCATCCCCTCTGTGGACTACAGCCATAGCTTCCCTTTCATCTGGTTTCCCTACCTTCATTCTTCTTTAACTAAATCTCTTTTAACACATGCAGTAAGCATTGCTTTTTTTTTTTTTTTAAGATTTTATTTATTTGACAGAGAGAGATCACAAGTAGAGAGAGAGAGAGAGAGAGGAGGAAGCAGGCTCCCTACCTAGCAGAGAGCCTGATGCGGGATTCGATCCCAGGACCCTGAGATCATGACCTGAGCTGAAGGCAGAGGCTTTTAACCCACTGAGCCACCCAGGCAGCCCCAGCATTGCTTTTTAAATTGTAAATCCCTTAGTATTGGTTCTCTGCTTTAAACCATGTAGTGCCTACCATTACACTTGAAATGTAAACTCCTCAAACTGGTTCCCTCAGGACCTTCAAAATATCAGTTACTTGCCCCCAGGCTCCTTTCACATCCCCTTTTCCGTTCTGTAACATATTGAACCAATCTGATTTCTAATTTCTTCCTTTAGCTCCTTTTCAATTTTGCATGTACTTTGCTCCTTCTCTCAGTTCTTCACTCTTATTCTTAAGTCTTTGCTTGTATCTCTTTCGCAAAGCACTGTTCCATTTACTTCAGAATTGGCCAGTCTCCCCATGATGTATATATATATATACTTCCAGCATGTAGTACTTCTCTTTGGGGCTCTTATCACAGTTGTAATTTCATAAATTGTTTACCTGATGAAAGTGTTCCCATTAAACTTTGGCTTCTATGAAAGTCTTATTGGTCTCCATGTGTTCTGTAACAAGAATAGTGGAGTCATCCTTTAAGGAATAGATAAACGACTAGAAATTCTCTGGGATTTTAACTAGCTAGACTCAGCAATGATAAGGTCTCATTTCTACTGAGAATACTAACATTATCAGATTATATCACTAGAAATACAGCATCATAGAGGAAGGTAATTTTTTATCAGCTTAAAATAGACTATTATGTCTATAAGATGTTTTATGTAAGCCTGATGGTAATCCACAGGGGAAAAAACCTTTAATAGATACACAAAAAATAAAGAGAAAGGAATTAAAGCATACCAGTAAGAAAAAGAAGTCACAAAGGGAGACTGTGAGAAAGGAACAAAGGAACTTAAAAAAAACCCAGGAAGCAATTAACCAAAGGGCCATAGTAATTCCTTACCTAGCAATAATTATTTTAAGCATAAAAGGACTAAGTTCTCCAATCAAAACACACAAAGTCATTATTGGATTTTAAAAAACAGATCCAATAGTATAGTGTCTACAAGAGATTTCACTTTAGGTTTAACGACACACATAGGCTGAAAGAGAAGGGATGCTAAAAGATATTTTGTGCAAATGGAAACCAAAAGAGAGCAGGAGTGGCTGTACTTATGCCAGATAAAATAAACTTTCAGTCAAAATTGATCACAAGAGATAGAGGTCACTGTATGGTGGTACAGGGGTCAGTTTATCAAGGGGATATAACAGTTGTAAATATGTATGTACCCAACATTTTTGAAGCACCTAAATAAATATTTAAGGCAAATGTTAATATACTTAAATGGAGAAACAGCAATACAGTAATAGTTGGAGACCACAGAATACCACTTTCAACACTGGATAGATCATCCAGGCAAAATTAATAAGGGAACAGAAGGCCTAAATTATACTGTGGACCAAATGGACCTAATAGACATATACAGGACATTCCATCCAACAACACCAAATACACATTTTTCTGAAGTGCATACAGAACGTTCTCCAGGATAGATCATATGTTGGGCCACAGATCAAGCCTTGTCAAATTTAAGAAGATTGAAATCATATCAAGTATCTTTTCTGACCACAATGGTGTGAAACTAGAAATCAGTAATAGGAAAATTTAAAAATTCACAAGTACATGGAAATTAATACATTTCTGAACAATTAGTGGGTCAAGAAGAAATCAAAAGGGAAATCAGAAAGTATCTCAAAACAAATGAAAATACAATATACCAAAATTTATGGGATGCAACAAAAATAGTTCTAAGACAGAAATCCATAGCAATAAATGCCCAGATACTAAGCAAAAAGAAAGGTCTCAAATAAACATCCTAACTTTAATCCTCAATAATTAGAAAATGAAGAATAATCTAAATCCAGAATTAGCAGAGGGTAGGAAATAATAAAGTCTAGAGCAGAAATTTAAAAAAATAGAGACTAGAAAGAATTTGGGAAAAAAAATCAATGAAAAAATAATTGATTTAAAAAAATTGACAGACCTTTAGACTAACCAAGAAAAAGCAGTCAAATAAAAGCATAAATGAATGAGGAGAAAGTATTACAGCTGATACCACAGAAATATAAAGGATCATGGAAGACTGCTATGAATAATTATATGCCAACATATTGGATAACCTAGAAGAAATAAGTAAATTCCTAGAAAGATATGGTCTGCCAAGACTAAATTGTGAAGAAACAGAAAATCTAAACAGACCAGAAGAAGTAAGGAGATTGAATCAGTAATCAAACACCTTCCCAACAAAGATAAGCCTAGGACTTGAGAGCTTCACTGGTGAATTCTATCATACATTTTAAAAAGAATAGTAATTTTCCTCAAATTTTTCCCAAGAATCAAAGAAGAAAGAACATTTCTAAATTCATTTTACGACACTAGAATTACCCTAATACCAAAGCCAGGTAAGACACTGCAAGAAAACTATAGTCCTGTATCCCTGATGAATATAGGTGCAAAAATTTTCAACAAAATAGTAGCAAACCAGATTTAACAGTACATTAAAAGGATCATACACTACATTTTCTTTATTCATTTATCTACACATTTGTGTGTGTACATATATATATACACATACACACATATAAACAAGTGTATATATATTGTATATATATAAAATACACATACACACAATGGGATATTTAGCCATAAGAAAGAAGGAAATCCTGCCATTTGTGACAACATGCATAGTACTTGATGGTATTATGTATGGTAAGTGTAGTAAGATAGACAAATATTACATGACTTCACTTATATGTGGAACCTAAAAAAAAGCTCAAGTCAAAGAAATAGGAGAATGGTGGTTGCCGGAGAGTAAGGGAGATGACATGTTGGTCGAAGGAAACAAATTTCCAGCTATAACATGATTAACGTCTGACGA